CCCAGATTGTTGGGGGCAATATGCTGACTCTCTGTAAACCGCTTAGAGAGGGCTGAAAGCCCTCTCTCGCCCCACCCGAATGCTGAATGAATGTTGTGTTTTATTGTTTTATTTTATTATACCTCACATTTTCTTTTTGTGTTTTGTCTTGCACTCCCTTCCTACAAATTGTAAGCCGCCCTGAGTCCCCTCAGGGAAAAGGGCGGCCTATAAATGTCAAATAAAATGAAATAAATAAATAAAAATGTCATCTTCAGTGATAAATTTATGACACCTTTATGGTTTCCTGGTGATCTGCCATCCAAGTACCAACCAGGTCTGTCCATGTTTAGCTTTGCAAGATCAGTAAAAATTGCTTAAATACTTCCACTTAACTGAACAAAAACAATATCAAATCCAGTTTGACTCCTGCTGCCTTTATTCAGACATGCAAGAAGAAGGGGAACATGTAGGTGCAGAACGAATTCTATTTTATAAGTAATACACACCTAAGTTGCAAACCCAAATTGACATTAATTATTGCTTAAATAAATTACATTTGGTTAGAAGAAATACACTGCTAGAATTGTGACTTGCAACAATTACCTCAATTTGTGATATTTTTTGTTTAGAATTTAAGCATCACTGTTCCATTTTAATTTCTTTCCCACTGGCAGTTGGCTAGCATTCTATGTTTATTCTTAATTGGGCAGGTATTATGTATTCTCTTTTGTCTCTAAATACTTTTTATTTAATAATTTTCTATGTGTTAACAAATTATAGGGCTTCCCCAAATCTGCTTTTAGTAGGGCCTTCCTAAGAACTGAAATTGCTATAAATATTTGTGATCCATTCCAATTGCTGATTCTGTTGTAAAGTTATATGGTGGTCTTTCTTTTTGTTGCCTAGATTTTCAGTTTCATATGAAAGTGTCATAACTAGGTACACTATTTTGACAGCTAGACAAAATTTCATACTTTCTTTGTTGGACAAACAAATAAAATGTTTAGTGTATACAATTTCAGTATAGCATTTTCCACAATTCTGAACATTGAGGTGCATTAAAAAAAACATTGATAACTTGTAAAACATTGATTTAGATTGCTCCTTTAGCTAGTCCAGGATGGCCCATGGGGCTACCCTGGAAACAGTGAAGGATGATGCCACGGTGCCTCTGACAGCCAAAATGGAGCTCAGGGTGGCTGCTCTTTTGCTGGCAGAGGGCTGTAGGAGGCTGTTGGCTGAAAATGTCCCTCCCCGGGGGGTGTGCACAGTTCCCCTGGGCTCTGTTTCCACTGGCAGAGGGCTGCAGGATGCTGTTGTGACCAAAAACAGAGTTCGGGAGGGCCACACACAGCCCTCTGTGCTTGTTTTTGCTGGCAAAGGGCTGCAGGAGACCATTGCAACCGAAAATGGCTCCTGGGGAGTCAATTAAAACTTGGGTTTTAGGTTTTGTTTTCACAAAGGAAAAAGCTGAATGGGTGTACAATCATTGCTTTTACTAAGAACTTTAGATATATTGTTTCAAATGCCTTATTGCTATATTTAGTTTTGAATTTATTATTGTGTACCATCTTAAATATAGAATGGAACACATGAGTTGCCTTTTTAAAAAAAGGATGTCTGCATTGTAACTAAGTGATAAATTCCTTATTCCAAGTGTAATGTTTCAAGTTTCATTGTTCCTTGACTATCCTCTACTGAGCAAAAGCTTAAGGCAGATAGACAGAAAATCTATTCTTTATTATTTCAAAATTGATACTGACTGAAAGGATGCTCACAAGGAGTTCAGTTCCTCATGAAGAGCTTATGTTCTTTCTAGAGGCTGACAGAAGGAAATAAAAACTGTGCCACAAAAACTGCTTCTAAGATCTTTGTGCCACTATTTCAAATGTGGTTACGAATTAATTAATACATTTACATTGAACTATATAACAAGCAGTTCATTGCTTATTTTGGTTCTATTTTTCACTACCCTTTTATATTAGCTAATCAAATACAAACTTTGTAGTTTATACTTAACAAATGCTTTTGCAGTTACATTTTTATCCAATAATGCTGTGCCTATTGTAGCTCAATAAAATTTTGAAATAAAAAATAAGTTTAAAAATTGCTGCTACAGTATAAATGCACCTTCATAGTAGCAGTCATTATTACTACTCAACTTTCTCTAATTTACAGAAAAGTCATGATTGCACAATTGAAGAGAAATCGTTGTGCAATACTATACACACACACACACACACACACACACACACACACAAAATAAAGAATTATGAAGAAATGAAACAAACATGTAGGCTATACATTTATAGACAAGTATATATCAATAAATAGAAGCCATGATTTTTTACAGTCATGCATGGCTAAGCTATATGAGTAAATTCTGCAGACCACTGCATATTTTAAGCCATATATTTGCCTTTCCAATTATGACATGTAAGCCTTTTGGCTATAAATAAGGTACAGTAAATCCATTTTATTTGTTTGGATGTCAACTCCATTGTAATATATTAATAACATAAACCCACATTACTGATTTTATGATATTTTTAATGTTCTGATTCTACAGGTATACAAGAGTTTCCAGAAAATATCAAGAACTGTAAAGTTTTAGCAATTGTTGAGGCCAGTGTAAATCCTATTTCAAAGTAAGTTCTGTTGTAATATTTAAATAAAAACGTGTTGCCCAATGAGTATTACATTGTTTTCAGATTAAGAATATGATCTTGGATTTGTTAAATTTATCTCTGTTTAAATTTATCTAGGCTTCCAGATGGATTTTCACAGTTGTTAAACCTAACACAATTATATCTGAATGATGCTTTTCTGGAATTCTTACCAGCCAATTTTGGCAGGTAAGTTGTAAATAAGTTTACAAAGGCAAGTCACTAGTAGCTATGAAAGAGGATTGAATGTTGAATCTTCCAAATACTTCAAAACAGTAGACCATGTCCTTGAACTAAAGTATCTTAATTCAGAACTATAATAGATCTCAAGTCTCTCTGTACATGGCTTTTGTTAACTTTAAATCAGCATTGAAGTCTATTGCAAAACTGCTATAGGGAGAGGGGGATTGGACATTGATTTGAGGCCCTTGCTAGTAATATAGAAATCATATTAAAACTCTAGGAGGAGAATACGTTGTGATCCACAAGGTCTAATTTTAGACTTTAGCTAGTGTACATAAGGAAGTCAGGCAGTGATGTCTGTTCAATTTGGAAATGAACTCATTAGCAAAAAGAACTCTCAAATCCAAATTTTCATGGCAGATAAGGATTTCCCCTTGCAGCTGATCTTAGCATGCACTCAAAAACCTAAGATGCCTTGTAATAAACTTCCAGAAGATCAAAATAATGGTCTCTGTTAAAACACTCACAAAGTTTCATTGGATAATAAAAGGGCAGGACATTCAGTGAGTCTGGGTTTTAAATAATTTAGATATTGCCTTTTGGAGTCTCTGCAATGGTCATGCAGGTGTAAAAAAGCTCTTCTGCCATCCTAATTTTCTTCTGTGCAAAAGGTGGAGAATGTCTCTCCTCAACTCTCAAATTATTCCCAGCAAGATCTCTGGCTCAGCTGCTCTGTAGTTCCTAGCTAAGCCCCTACCTAAATTATTCACAGTTGCAAGCTTCACAAATCACGATTATAAAATCAATGTTCCAAACCCAAAGCTGCATATCCAGTGCAATTTTGAGATAGAAACTGACCAAGAGAGGATTGAGCTTAGAGCATGTTTAATCCTATTTAATTACTGACTTCTGTCAGCGAAGGAATGTCAATTGGTGAGTTCCAAGAGAAATGACTTTTCTGCTGTAGTGACCGCCCTCTAGAACAGGGGTCTCCAACCTTGTCAACTTTAAGATCTGTGGACTTCAACTTCCAGATTCCAGCTTTGCTGGCTGAAGAATTCTGGGAGTTGAAGTCCACAGGTCTTAAAGTTGACAAGGTTGGAGACCCCTGCTCTAGAGTACCTGCTCTTCTGATGGTCCAGACACTGCTTGTCTTTTGGAAGATTTTGCATAACTACATGGCCAGACCTGCGGTTCAGTGTGTCTGAAGGGCCCCATTTCCTGGTTAGGCTGACACTAACAAATTATATTATCTCGTGGCTACTATTTATATTTAATTTTTAATTTATATTGTATTTTAATTGTTTCTCTGATTGGTCACCCCCAACCCGAGTTACTGGCTTGAGAATATAAAGTAGATGAATGATTGCAGTTCTGTTTTATCCCTAACATCCTAGAGGATATTAAATAAAAGGAATTCAAAGATTAAGATCAATTTTAAATACTTGTAAGGAAAAAAAAGCCTGCATACTTATTTTGATCATTAGGAAGAATATGCTAATATCATAATTGGACAACTCCGTTGCTCAGAAATAGAGAAGATTCCATACAGGAGGACAAAATCAGTAATTTTAGGGAAAAAACAGTTGAATTTTATGGATTAAAAATAATAATTTTAAGTTCTACTTACGTTACATCTTAGAAATCTATTCTTATAAATTAAAAAAGTCTAAATATTAGAGAAAACAGGCAGCATGATTTGAAAGGCTGTATTTTAACACAGTTCTTTATTAGCTAAGGTCACAAATTTGTGTTTTAATAGTTTAAACTTGCAAATTAAATCAAATTTCTGTTATAATAATAGATTTATTTCATACTTCTCAAAAAGTAATTCATTGTATTTCTTTTAAAGGTTAACTAAACTCCAGATTTTAGAACTTCGAGAAAACCAGTTAAAAATGTTGCCAAAGTAAGTATACAGTGGTATTTGAATATATTTTGTTATGAATTGAAATATAATGAAAATCAGAATTTTAAAATCAACTTTGACGTTCTAGGACCATTGTCTTTCTTGAGGTTTGTTTCTGTTGGAATTACTATGAATTATTTCTTTTTGGTCTATCTATGCAATTATTCATTTTGACAGTAATTCTACCTTATGGATGCTCACAGTTTTCCAGTTGAAACTATGATTTTCTATCCATATGTTGTGAAATTAAAGAGTTTTCATCATGTCTTCTGACTGCTAGTTGTTATTCCTGGATGCGCTCTGCTAGTTTCGTTTGTCCTATATAGTGGCAGTTATAGTCCTTACATTATATGTTGCAGGTGACTCCTGTTTTTTCCTTCTGTTTCTGCTGGATCTTTTGGTTTACTTAGGATTTCTGGAGAGCTTTCATTGGTTTACAGTAGTAGCAACCATAACCGTAACGGTTGTAATAGTGTGTTTATGGTTTTTGATGGTAGTGTTGGCAATGTTATCCTTTCCCACAGATTGTGTTGGTTGTGCTATATTGGGCTGAGGTAGAGACACTTGATAAAGTTGATGGGGTATCCATTTTGTTGGGAAAAGATGTACAGATGATTTGATTCCTTTTCTGGTGTTTGAGGTTGCTGCAGTTGTTTGTCCTCGCCTAAATAGTGTTCTTACAGAGTTTCTATTGTGGAAGGTTGGGTTATTACTTGGTAATAATAGAATGCATGGTTGGTGTTGGATGTTTTGGGATAGACTTGTGCTTCTAATTTGCTATTCTAATTCTGCTGATGAGGATATCCAGGAATCATGTTGCTTTTGCTTTTTCCCTTGTGAATTTTATTCCTTTGAAAACGTTGTTGATAGTTTTGTGTGTCTTCTCTAATTGGTTCTTTTTATTATAACAAAAGTGTCATAATTTTGAGTTTTAGCTCCTTTTCTATTATATAACAGACTGCCCATTTGTTTTCAATTTAATTTTTTTAATTTATCTGTATCCTGCCTTATTATTTTAGCAAATAACTTCCCATAATTTAGCTTTGAGCATTTATTTTATTTATAGAATTGATGCAAATTAGAGGGCATATAAATTTTATCAGTAATTATTACAATTAGAAATATACTAAGATGCTAGTATTTAGAGCAAAATCATTTAATCTTAGTAGTAGGATAATTTGACTGTTTACTTCTTATGAACTGATCCTATTTGGTATGTTTTCTATAACTGTTAAACTGTAATGCTTATTTAAAAAGGCATCAGAATGAGTACATGAAAATAAGATATAATTGGCATTTCCCTTAAATCTAAGAACTTTTAATCCTTTTCATTTTTGCAGAACCATGAACAGACTGACTCAGTTGGAGAGGCTAGATCTGGGAAGTAATGAATTCACAGAAGTGGTAAGTTGTACTTACAGTTTCGGTTTAAAAGGTCATATCCTTAAATCTTTTAGATAATGCCAGATAAGAAATTGCCTTACCTTTTATATTCTAAGCTAACTTTATTGAATTGTGTCATTTTAAAGTTGACTGCTTTTCCCCAAATTTTATTTGCTGTAGGCATGGCATTTTGGTGACACATTGAATGTATGCATTGAATGACTCTAGATTTATGTAATTCAATAAACTTAATCGTTAATAAAAATATTGAACATAAAAATAAAGATTTGGAATAGAGAGTAAAACATCTATGTATAAATACATAAAAGAAATAACTAAAATTCTCAGTATTTTTTCTTAATTTTGTATTTTCTGTTAAATATTCTGTTATAAAAATAATTATAATATATTTTTTTATTTCTATCAGCCTGAAGTACTTGAACAATTAAGTGGGTTAAAAGAATTTTGGATGGATGATAACAAACTAACCCTTGTTCCAGGGGTAATGTATATTTATTATTTTTATATTTATATTACAACTACTATAACAATTCAGTAGTATGCTTAATGCTTAAGTGAATAATTGTATTCAAGAATGCTGGTCACCTTTCCTGAAAGAGATTCATGAAAACAGTTCTCTTTACATTCAGCAAAAACTCAACAATATACCTTCGGGATAAAAGTCTGAAAATAACAAGGAGTAATTTTTCTGTGTCACATAGCTTATCACCTTTCTTGAATTCATAGAGAGTGGTAATTGGTTAAAATGTTCAGTAGAATCCCACAATGAAATATCTTTTCCTCTAGATTTGGATTCTGTAAAACTTTGATTAAAGTATACATCCTAATTTGCAACAGAGCATAAGTATGATCTGATGTCATAGCAAATAAAAATTTCATTAGAATTAATTTACCTGTAGAGTAGGTATATTCATATTTTAATTCACAAGCTTTGTATTTTACCAATGTCTCTGTATTTTCAGTTTATGGGCAGTTTGAAGCACTTGACCTACTTGGATATTTCCAAAAACAATATTGAAACTCTTGAAGAAGGTGTTTCAGGATGTGAAAGTTTACAAGACCTGCTATTATCTAGTAATTCACTTCAGCAGCTGCCAGAGTCCATTGGTTTGTATTGTTACCTATAAATATATCATAATATCATGACCACATTTTGGCATTCTTTATTTAAACATAACTGTACTTTTGTACCATATAAACAAAAAAACATACCTTGTCTTATTTTTTTTTATTTTAAAGAACAATTTTATATTGAAGTTAACTTAAAAGTAATTCATCAGTGGAAACAATTACAGTGGTAGTAATAAAGGAGAACATTTGTAGCTCAGCGTTGGCATGAGGGGTCCTTGGTGCTCTCTGAGCTTGCTTGTTTCCTTGCAGACTTTTCATTTCCCAAACTACATAACATCAGTGCTAGTTGTTCTCTAGACCAGCTCTGCTGATGTTACTTAGTTTGAGTAATGAAACATCTGCAAGAAAACAAGCAAACTCAGAGAGCACCAAGGACATAGTCCCCCATGACAATGGTTTAACCAATCCAGTATAATGCAGTAAGGTGGATTAATATTTCCAAATTGTTTTGCTTTAGTTAGCGTGCTGCCAGATTTATTAGTCTAGAGTTCTCATTATCCCAATTCAACTTTGTGATCAGAGAGCTGGCAAAGGAAAAACAGAATATAGTATCTGTCAATTATTATCTGTCAATATAGGTCTGTCAATTATTAAATATTTATGGTTTTAGATATTGCTCAGTAGTAACCATGACACTTGCAAATAAATTTTCTCTTTTCCTCAATTGACAGTATCTACAGATGTCCTTTAATAATACATAATAATAAATTAAAAGAAGTACTTTTTCTTTTGTAATAAAATTTGGTTTGATTTTGGTTGCAATTGATTTAGGACTAGAATAATCTAGCTACTCTGTTTTGCACAGGATACAATGTAATAGTTGCACATAAAAAATGGAAGACACCTTGAGAGATTGCTTGCTTCCTCTACAATGATGTAGATTATGTCATGTGAATACCGTATGACTACCATTTTGATATTTCTTTTATAACAGGTTGTCTGAAGAAATTAACAGTTCTTAAAATTGATGAGAATCAGTTAATGTACTTGCCAGATTCCATAGGAGGGTAGGTATTTCTACATCTTCTTTAACAAAGAACATGTTATATTTCATTTTAATGGTTCTTTAATGAGTAACTTAAATAGAATAGTTTACCTAACGCCTTTCAAATCTATTAATATAGCCATATTTGTATTTGTAACCATTTTGAAGTTTATAATCCTGCATATGCAGTAGATTTAGATTATTTTGGAGGGTTTACAGGGATTTGGGATATTCAGCTTTGTTCCAATCAGTAGCAATTCAAGTTTCAATTGGTATTGTTTATATTTTCCATACTTGAATTTATATTCTTCTAACAAATAATTTTATTTTTAATTTATTTTAATTTTATTTATTGAAATTGGTTTAGGTTAACATCAATTGAAGAACTAGATTGCAGCTTCAATGAAATTGAAACTTTGCCTTCATCTATTGGGCAGCTCTCTAACATAAGGACTTTTGCTGCAGATCATAATTTTTTAACACAATTGCCACCAGAGGTATGCTTTTATTCATGGATCCAGTTGTTTGTGTTTATAGGCTTAGATTATTGAGATATTTTAAAAAAATAGTAGAATGTGACTTTTTTTTTTTTTTGACATAAACTAGAAACTAATTTTGGAACTCCTGATTCTTGGAAAATTGGTATAAAAATGCTCAAGTACCGAGGGTACTCATCTGCCAAATGATTCATTGTGGCACAAGTTAGCTCAAAAAGCAGGATATAAATTTAACAACTGGATCCATACGAGAACTGCTTGGGAGCGTGTAGCTACTTTGTAATGAGAAACGGGGAAGTTGGGAGAGGAAATACTTGTTA